GGAGGGGAGGGGCAGAGGGAGAGAGAGAATCCCAAGCCAGCTCCATGCCCAGCATTGAGCCTGATGCGGGGCTTGATCTCATGACCTCGAGATCACGACTGGAGCTGAAATCAAGGGTCAGATGCCCAACCGATTGAGCCACTCAGGTGCCCCTGTGGAACTTTTAAAGCAGCACTCAGAACGTAGGTGTTGGCACACATTCTTAAATAATTTACTTTATAATTATTTTAATAATGAACTCAGCTAGGCATCTTCTGAAAAAATTTGTTGATTATAAACTTCAGAGTATAAATTCATAGTAAAGTGACCCTTTGGGCATAGATGGCATTTATCTAGAAGGCTTCTGCAAGCTGGACTTTTGTTCCCCTGGTAGAGTTGGGGAGCTCTGGCCTCCAAAAGGTGTTCTTGAATTTCCCTAGCCAAAAGCTCCTTCTCATATCAACCATAAAGTCATGGTATTTATCACTTTAATCCTTAGTGGTATTACATTAATTGATGTCCTGTCTCTACTGCTAGTGGTAAACCTCTTTTTTTTTTTAAGATTTATTTATTTTAGGGGTGCCTGGGTGGTGTCAGTTGAGTGTCTGATTCTTGGTTTCAACTGGGGTTGTGATCTTCGGGTCCTGAGATCAAGCCCCGAGTCGGGCTCCATGCAGAGCATGGCGTCTGCTTGGATTTCTCTATCCTTCTCCCTCTGCTCCTCACCCCCCCACCATTCTCTCTCTCTCTCTCTCTCTCTCTCTGTCTCTCTAAAGAGAGACAGAGAGAGAGAGCATGTGAGTGCACAAGTGGGGGAGTTGGGGGAGGGGCAAAGGGAGAGGGAGAGAGAATCCTCAAGCAGGCTCCTCACTGAGTGCAGAGCCCAATGTGAGACTTGATCCCAGGACTCTGAGATCATGACCTGAGCCGAAATCAGGAGTCGACTGCTTAACCAACTGAACCACCCGGGTGCCCCTAAATGGTAAACCTCTTAAGGGCAGGAGGAGTATTTATCAATGAATAACAAAAATAACATCTGGTCCCTTACTGCTTTGAACAGTGTGTATTTTTGAATGAGCAAATAAATAATTGTGTCTGTGAGGAGGTGACCCGAAAAGAGAAAAATGAGGTTGTTAAATTATTTTATACCATAGAATTAGTCACAACCCATTTCAGGATGGAGTAGGCATAGAAATCATGTAAGTACAAATCCTCCATAGATAGATTAGCAAATGGAGGACTAAATCAACTAAGGTCTTATAGTTACTTACTTAGTGGTTTCATGTTGGCACTTTCATTTAAAGAATGGTCAAAACTAAGCCTTATATCACTGGCTTCATGTGCTGTGGCTGCAAAAATCAAAGTCTGGCCTTGGCATTGCCAGGACCAGTGAAAATATATTTAGAGCTACTTTGCCAGTTCTAATTCTCACCTTCCATCTCTTACGGTTGCCAAAGAATTATGACTTTAGAGAGTTTTTTTTTTTTTCCTCCCTACTTTAACATATTGGATTTTGATACCAGCTAAAACCATTGTATTGTCTGGGGCTGTCTGAGAACTTAGTAGATCATCCTGCTATACCAGTGACTAAGTGCAAGGTCTCTGGATTCTACAGCCTGACTTCTGGGCTCAGATTTTAGCTCATCAGATTACTGTGTGATGTTGGACAAGTTGCTAAACTTAAGTGCCTCTGTTTTCTCATCAAAAGTTGAGGTTGGGTCATAATAGTAACTATCTTATAGAATTGTTAAGATAAATTAACTAGTTCATTATTAAGGCTTTCCTGGAACATTGGAAATGGTCAATAAATGTTAGCCGTTATGATGGTCCTGGAATGCCAAATGGCCTGACCCATCTTCATCCAATCATCATTTTCCTTTCATTGGTAAGGGGTATGTTTACTGAAATTCTCTCTGAGATTTAATAATAAAGATAATGCTGGAGATTACATTTCAGCAGTATCTGAAAGGTTTGGATATGTAAACATTGACTATAAGGTCTTCCCAGATAGAGGAAATAGTGTGAATAAACTCTGATGGGGAGAAATGTGGGGTTGTCTCAGGAATAGTAAGGAATTCAGGTTAGCTGCAGTGAAAGGTGTCCTATGGGGAGAAGTGGGAGATTAGGTAGGAGATTAGGGATTGGCCCATGGAGGCCCTGAGATGGCAGTCCAAGGAGTTTGGATTGGGGGCCTTTGAATTCAGAGATCCCTTTTGCAGCAAAGTAGAGAGAGGAGGGATTAGAGGGAATGGGGTGGAGGTAAGGGGACCAGATAGAAGGTGGTTGAGTTCGTAGGAATAAAGGGGAGGAGGCTATGGTCTTGATAACACTTTGGAATTTATGCAAGGGATGGGAGGGCATAACCTAAGTGCCATTAACAGAAATAGGGTTTGGGATGGAGAAATATGATTTCAGTTTCATGAACATCAGTTTGAGGTATAGGTGGGACAGCCCAAGAGAATCATCCCTTTGATAGAGATTCAGAACTGGAACTCAGGCAAAAAGTTCAGTATTAGAGATCAAAAGCTGAGAGTCATTTCCAGATATGTGATAGTGGTTAAGGACATGACAATATATGAAATTCCCTAACCCTGCACCCATAGACTCAAAAGAGATCTTACACTTTTTGGAGGAGAGATAGCTAAGGCAAGAAGCAGTAAACATGGTGACCTAAAATTCTGGGGCGTAGGAATTCAGTTCAGCTGCTGTTGTGTGTGACTTAGAGCCGCTCTTTGCTTTTCCTACAGCGCTTTCCAGTTTTTAAGCCTGCTCATGAACCGCAGGAGGAACTTCCTACTTCCCTTTTTCCAATCACATACTGATGGCCAATGACCCTCCAAGTTCCTTTAATACTGGGCAGAGAATTAGGCTCAAATTATGGAATTCTAAAATGGCTATATAAAATTTACATATTTCATATTACAAAGTTAGAAGACAGACTCTGAAGAAATAAATTTAAATTTAAAAAATTTCAAGACTGAACTGTTTTATAACCCTTCATTTTGTATGTGGTTTTCAGTGGGTATAAAAATACTCAGTGGGTGTGTGGGTGGTTTCTCATGTTTTGGAAATGGTGAGAATATGAGATGCTGTGCATTGGGTTCTGGGATGAGAGCTATAATTACTAACTCTGATTCTTTCCCAGGATTGGCTCATGGGTGGATATCTATCTGAATCTAAAAACCCAACAATGCAGAATCCACAGTAATAAACCACTCCCCCCACCTCCCCCCCCTCTGGAAATGAAAAGAATTGTTGTGGTGGGGAAGAGGGGGGAGCGTGGGATGATGGTTCTTCCCTGCCTTGCCTCCTTTCAGGCCGTTCACTGACTCTTGAGGACGGAGATGCAGCTCAAATGAAGGCTGGTGTGGTGGCATCTCCCGGCCTGATGCACAACAGCCACCGCACAGCTGTGGTGGAAAGAGTTCTAAATATAACCCAGACTCATTTCAAATCCTCCTCCCCCAAGTCTTGGAGGATGTGGTAAATACCCTAAAAATACCTGATGTCTGAACCTTTGAGGTATGGAAGAGGAAGGGGCAGGTGGTAGAATTAGGTCCATGTGGTGGTGTGAGGAGGCCTGGCCAGCTACCAGGCCTGCTGCCCGTGGGGGCCTCTGCCTGTGGGGGCCTGCCACCAAAGCTGCTTGGGGAGCTGTCGACCATGCCATCCTGTTCAAGGATAAGTGCCTACTCTTGAGTCTCATGTTCACTGTTGGCAGGTTTCAAGGAAACTATTCATAGACTAGGCATCTGCTCTCTGTCCCATTGACCTCAAACCTGCAGCTGCCACCATGGTATTCGGGCATTGTGCTGGTTTTTAGTTGTATTTCATGGAATTAGAATTCTAGAGCGGCAAGGACCTTAGCCATTATATTGTTCATAAAACATTCCTTTAAAATCATTGTATTTAGGGAGTCCTATTTCTCTGCCTAGATAGTGACCATAGTGATGTGAAAATGGAGTCTCAGTCCTTGATTATTAAAAGAAATCACTGTCATCATTATGTAACAAGTAGAAGAATAATGAAAACCAATCTTTTTAAAAATATCGATGAAATGATCCTGTGCAAAGCTTTTTCTTTTTTATTAAAAAAATAGGGTTTTGAGGCTCATTTTGTCTTTCAAACTTCAGTGTTTTGAATATTAAAGATCACTGGTAACAGAGCCAGAAAGAACACCAGGAGTCTTGTTTTCAAGGAGGCTTTCAATATCTAGTTTCTGGAATCCCAAACCATAACCATGATGTTGTAATTGAAGGACCATAGCTCACCTCTGTTTTCTTGGGAAGGAAAGTTTTCATAGATTACCTCCAATACATATGAGATGCATTCAAAGTCATGGAGGCAGTCAGCACCATTATAAAATAGCATGAATCATCCAAATTTTTAAGTGTATGATAACTACCTTACCCCAGTCTCCTTCAGTAAACTCTGAGAAGGTCCAGCGAGTACAGAGCCTGTGTTGGGTGCTGCGCAGGGGAAAGCAAAGATGCCCCAAAAAGCCTGTATAGCTGATGGTGGAGACAGGACCAATTCAAGAGCTGAATAGTTTTAAATATGTTGCATTTATGGTGGTTACAGAATTTTTATAATGGTAACAAGTATGTGTCTTCCATTCTGAGGGTCTCAGAGTTCCTTTCTGTATCTAAAAGAGTGTTACTTATTTTACACTCTGGATTGAAAGTAAATTGAAAATTTTTCTTGAATTCTTGAAGCCATCAACATGGTTGTTTTTTTTTTATGTCACTTAATGCATATCTGAAATAGCACCTCTAGAACCTCATATTTCCCTGGACCAGGACACTTGTAACCAGAAGTGAGATTCCTTGGGATAGAGTCTGCTTTGGGAGTCAGTGTGATTTTGTGGAAGAGCAACTGAAGGCAAGGAGGATGTGGGTTTAGAGGGAATCTTCTTTTTCCATGCAGTTAAGAAGAAAGGGAGGGAGAGGGTAATATCCACCTGTAGGTAACTCAGGTGGCATAGTTCATGAATTCTCAAACGTTTCCCTCTGAAATTCCAGAATGAAGAGCTTCGGAACTTGTCCCTTTCTGGACATGTTGGATTTGACAGTCTCCCGGACCAGCTGGTCAATAAGTCTACTTCTCAAGGATTCTGTTTCAACATCCTGTGTGTTGGTAAGTGACTCATCTCTTGCTGCTGAGCAAGGAGTCTGATCCTTAGGTGTTGGCAGGTGACTATCAGAGGGGCACATTTCAGGGAAATAGGGGAATGATATTTTTACTCTTCTTTCTTTCATTAGTAAAGTAGGACAATAATATACACAGTATATATGTCACATAGTTACACAGATTGAGACTTGTATTTGGTAAATGTTTCATAAGCTTTGCGATGTTACTCAAATTGTTATTTTTATTTGTGTCACACATTCAAATGGTCAGTTCAGTATTGTTATTAAAACACTTATTTTAATTTTTGGTGGGGGGAGGGACTTAGATCCTAACTAGATTATAGGAAGTAGAAAGAAGGAAGTGATATGAACATACATAGTAAGATCATTCAAAAGCATTTTTAGAGTTTATGACTACAGTGCAATAGTAATCTCCATTGAAGTCTTTTCAAAGGTATACAACCTAATGTAAGTAAAACCTGAAATTACCCTAACTTCCTTAATAAACATAATGTTTACATTTTTGGTTTTTAGAGCAAAAGAATTTAAAATTCTGTTTTGTATTTGAAATAAATTTTCTGCCCGAATTATCAAGTTAAACTTTTGTCTTTAAATTGGAATCTAAAACTGACCTTAGTTTTTTCCTGGTAGATAAATAGAAAAAACCCCCACGAGAATTGATTTATCTGCCTCCTCAGTATGTTTTATTCATATCTTGTAGATATTGTACATTAGTCTAGGCCTCTGGCCTTGGTATTTTTCTACTCTCTAGCCATATTCTTTTTAAAGGAAAGGCAGAAAAGAAGGTGGGGGGAAAAAAAGAGGAAAATAGAAGTATAAATCTGTTGGTTTGAAGCGGAGATGCCCCTGGCACAGATAATGGCCTTTCCTTCTTTGTCACTCCTGATGAATGGCCAGGCTGTACAGCAGTGAAATGGTTTGGGCTGCATTGTTTTGTTGCCATTGTCCTGTTGTCCTCCGGGTGTATGTTTCGGAGACATCACTCTGAGCTAGACCAGAAGAAATTACATATATAGCCAAGTGGACCATCCTTCCCCTAAGCTTGGCAGAATGTACCAGACTTATTTCTCTTGTCCAAGTAAAATGAAGTGAATTTAAAAAAGGTAGGCATTGAATATAAGAACCACCATTTTAAAAATTTGTTAGTTATTAGGGGGAGGGCCAGATATTTTCTTTTTCAAAAAACCTGAGCATATTCAGTGTAGCCCCTGTATTGGGTGTTCATTTGTAGAAAGCCACAACCGACTTGTACACCAGACCAGCTTGCACTCTGGCATTATGTCTGAAAGTGTTGGATAAGACAATAACTGGAGAGAAACATGACCAAAGAAGCCAGCTCTCATGCATTCCCCTTTCCCCTACATGAAGCTGTTTAAAATTCAGCAGGGGAGCTCCTGAATGGCAGCTCGTTCTACAGAGTGGCATAAATGAGTTGTCTTTTCTCTTAGGGTAAATGCTCATTGCAGAGCAGGGCAATTCTTCATTAGCGTAGCAATTTGTTGGCAATTTGTTGATTTTCTATTGAAAAGCGTGCTAAATTAGAGGCCAGTTACTATTCTGGCTTCTCTTCCCTGCCTCCCTCAGCCCTGTCTCTAAAATCAGCTTCAAGAATACATGTGGGAGTTATAACCCAGCCCCTGCAAGTAGGATAATGCCTTTCAGTGGGATTGGGTTTGCTGGAAGGACCTGGTTTGAGCCGGTGTGTGGTGTGCAGTGGGGTGTATTGGCTCATTGGCTGACTCTGTGTGTTCAATAGCACAATTATGATGCCAGTTAGAATTCATCACAAGCCACATCCACGCTGCCCGGATGGATTTGTAAAGCAGTTGCTATTCTGACTGTCCTGGGTAGGTGATAATGCCTATGATTTTTAGATTTTTGTTCTGGGCTCATTCTTAAACATGTTTAAAATTAGTTTTTTAATTTAATTAAAATAATACATACTTGTTTTTTAAAAAATTATAAGCTCTCCCTGCCCCCTTTCCCCTCCTGCCCTCATTTCCATTCCACAGAGGTAGCACTGTGGAATCCTTCTAGAAATCTTCTACATTTTTCTGTACTTAAAAAATTATTTTTGGTGGCTTAAAACAACACTGGCTTATTATCTTATGGTTCTGTAGAAGTCCCATATGTGTCTTACCAGGCTAAAATTAAGGCATCCACAGGGCTGAGTTTCTTTCCAGAACCTCTGGGGGAACGCACATTTCCTTGCTGTTGCCAGCTTCTGGAGGCCACCTGCATCCTTGGCTTGTGGACCCTTTCCTCCATCTTCAAAGCCAGCAGTGTTGTGTTTCTCTCTGTTTTTGTATTAGGAAAATTTCCACAGAGAATTCCAGAAGTCCAGTTTAAACTCAGTTAAGAGGCCTCTGCAACTCCAAAGCACGCTAAAAAAATAATATATTGAATCATGTAATTAAGAACAGCTGGCTCCAGGGAATCACAGAGTGTTTTCAAGGCTGTGTCTCTGGCTCTTGATCCTGCTTGCTTCTGCTTGGCTTCATGTTCAGGCTTTTTCTTCAGGAGGCTAGTATGGCTTCCAGCAGTTGTCGGCTTAGCAACCCCCGAGGAAAGAACCCGCTGTTCTTGACAAGTCTCGCTGAACAGTCATAGGACGTCTCTGACCAGGCCTGAGTCATATGCTCACTCGGGGTGGGATATGGGGTTAGCTAACTACAAAACACAAATGGTGCCCTGCGAGAAAGAAGACATGATCAGAAAGGAGGTTGGGCACGGAAGAGACACACACTGGACAGGCATAAACAGCTCTCACGACTATGGAAGCACTTTTATGTTTTGGTTTCACACAAATGAGATCATGCTGTTCGTATTCTTCCGCACCTTCCTTTTTCCTTTCTTTTCTTTCTTTTTTTTAACTCTACAGGAAGTCCTAGCTATTCCTCCATGCTGGTATATCTAGCTGACCAGATTCTCTTCCATGACTCTGGAGCCCTTTGGTTGGAGCCAGCATTAGCTCTTTGGGAGACCGGGGTCAGGGATGTCAGCATGAAGTATTAAGCATACTTGTCCACAGAGGGTAGAACACATCAAATCCCTTTGCCACAAATAAATTTACAGCAAAATATCTGTATAAGAAAACAACTCACTGCCGATTAATGGTCCATCTATTTTTATTTATTTTTTATTATTTAAATTCAATTAGCCAACATATAGTACATCATTAGTTTCAGATGTAGTGTTCAATAATTCATCAGTTGCATATAACACCCAGTGCTCATCATACCACGTGCCCTCCTTAATGCCCATCACCCAGTTACCTCATCCCCCCACCTCCAACCCTCCAACAACCCTCAGTTTGTTTTCTAGAGTTAAGAGTCTCTCTTGGTGTTTCTCCCTCTCTGATGACTTCCCATTCAGTTTTCCCTCCCTTCCCCTATGATCCTCTGTGCTGTTTCTTATATTCTACCTATGAGGGAAACCATATGATAATTGTCTTTCTCTCACTGACTTATTTCACTCAGCATAATACCCTCCACTTCCATCCATAATGGTCCATCTATTTTTAAAGTAAGAGTCTATGAAAAAGTATTCTAGTTGATCAAAATATTTTGACAGCCACTTAGAGGAGTAGGTGACATTTAATTTAAGCATATCCATGGTACTTTCTTTTCACATTGTCACTCTACTGTCCATTTGTATTTTTTTTAACACAGTATGCACATGTGTGGTATTTATAGCATCATTATTTTCATGTGATAATTACGGGAGGGAATTGAAAATTAAAAAAAAAAAGTTATGATCCTAGTAAGGAAACTGATCATGTTTAACAAAAAAGCTTGGAATTGTAATTTTATTTTGTGGCAAGAGCTGTTAGGTTGCAAAGAGGGGAAACAAACCAGGGCAGTAACTAATCCTGGCATGAGCTTAGTGTAGTTTTAGAGGCCATGAGTTAAATGTCTGGTATTAGAACCCATCTCTGTTGAATCCTGGAAAGAAATGTAATAAAGAGGAGAGTGGTGTTCACTTAACAGGGAAGGAAATTCTTGATGTTAAATTGGATGCCAGAACACCCAGGAGTTCATAACCCCCCGCCCCCCGTCTTGCTTACAACATACTAAATCACCCCCAGAGCTGCACTTGTATTTAAACAAAGCCTTTTCTTTCTTATCCATGCTGTATTTCTCTAGGGAATCAAAATTATTTAGCCTTTCTTCACAATTTAAAATTTATGTACCTTATTCATTTTCCAAAATGGCATTAGCTCTATGAGAAGCTTCAACATTGATCCAGAAGTATGTAAGTTCTTTGTGTATACAAAGATGGATAAAATACTGTAACATCCCTGCTTTTGAAGGGCAACCAGTTCAGTAGTAGGGTCAAAGTAAATTAATAATATGTCTTGAAAATAGAAATCTTTCTTATAATCCAACCATAGTTTGTTTTGAGAGGATGACAGAAGAGGAGTAGAAACCATGCAAGTTTAAGATCTTTTTAGCCAAGACTATAGTATGAACATAAACTGTTTTATGTTCATTTTTACACTTAAATGTTCAATTTTACACTTAAATGTTCAATTTTACACTTAAATCTTTTTTTTTCTCAAGAATTTTATTAAGTATTTTTTTTTATTTGGGTATAGTTGACACAATGTCACATTAGTTTCAGATATACGTTTTTATCCCATTTTGCTTTTCCAGGAAAGGATTTGAAATGATTTACAGGGCGAAATGAATGAGTAAATGAATAAAGATAAAATTAATTCCAGAAAATAAAGAGAAGCCAGGAAAAGAGTCAGAACTCAAAGCTATCAAGTCAGTCTGTAGCAGTTCTATCAGGGATACATTTATCTCTCAGCCAGTGGTCAGAGCATGGAATGAATCCATTCAGCCAAAAAATACTCATTGAGCACATATTATGTGCCAAACATAAGTTAAACATTTAACAATGACAGAGTTATAGTATTTGTAAAGTAAAAACAAAACAGTTGCTTCAGATGAAACAGTTTCACCTAGAAAAATCTCCCCCATGGATTTTCAGAAGAGATACGGTACGTGTCTCTGCAGTTAGGTCTAGATTCATAAGTATTCCCTAGATCAATGCAGTTAATCCATGCAATGCCAAGTGTAATATGCTGTTCTTTCAAGTCCCTCATGCAGGCTGGTGGTATTAGACAAAGCATGTTTCATCAAAAGTGATTCGATGAGGAGTTAAAACAACACAGCTTAGGTACATAGCTCTCTGATTATCTGGCTTCATCCAAGAATAAAATTCTAGAATATTTAGAGGAGGCAGGCCGACCTTCATGCACAATTATTTGGATAATTGAACAAGTTGCCAGACTTGGCAATCAGTAAAAGGTGCTGAATCATGGATTGGTTGGCTCTTTGACCAATCTACAGTTACCGTCTTTTTTTTTTTTTTTTTTTTTTAAAGATTTTACTTATTTATTTGACAGAGAGAGAATGAGCACAACCAGGGGGAGTGGCAGGCAGACGAAGAGAGAGAAGCAGACTCCCCGAGGAGCAAGGAGCCCGATATGTGGGGCTTGATCCCCAGGACCCTGGGATCATGACCTGAGCTGAAGGCAGACACTTAACTGACTGAGCCACCCCAGCGCCCCTACAGTTACTTTCTAATTAATAAAACAACCCTTCTGGGTCTTTTTTTCTTTTTCTTTTTTCTTTCTTCTTCTCCTCCTCCCCCTCCCCCTCCTTCTCATGTCCCGCTTAGAGCCTGTGGTTTAAATAAGCCTGAGAATAGAATGGAAGACATAGTACTGCTTTCCACTTTGATATGGGTGTCTTGTTCACCAGCCTCCGCAGGAGCAAGAGAAACAGAAGCCACAGATAGCTCTTTAAGAGTAAATCTCGACTGTAACAACGGAATGTTTAGACAGATGTATTTATAACAGAATAAACAACAAACTCTGAAAAATCTACCAAAATGGCAAATCTCAGTATAAATTATCACCATGATCATTTTTTGCCTTCAATTAACTTTTAATAAATGCCTGTTCTGTGCCAGATACTCCGCTAGGGAGTTCTGAAATGCTTCAAAGTTGGTGTTAGTCATTTATTTTCTCAAAATACTGTTATGGTTGTTGGGTTTGAACCCAAACCTGTGCCCAGTAAGCTTTCAGTTACTCAGAATGAAGACTTTTTGCTCTTTGGGGCAGCTCAGAATTCTAGAAGATGCCCTGCTTTCTGAGGATAGAGAGAGGCCTCACAAACTGATGCACTCAGAACTCCCCTAGTTCTGTAATTCCTCTTATTCCAAAATCTGTCATTGCCTTCTCAACTGCTTTTGGTGAATCACACTGCTGTAAGAGTAGCTGTGTCTAATTACGGCCCTTAAAAGCACAGAGCATAGAAATGGAAAGCAATGCACTCTGAAATTTAGAGGAACTGTGGTTTTTCCAACCCATTGATTAACCCAGTGCTGTAAGTAGTGCCTGGAATGCTAATTGTTCATAATTTCCACCTTAATGTAAATGACAATTAAAATTTCCTTGCCTTAAAAACAAAAAACAAAACAAAAAAAGCACGCTTTTCCTGATTCACATGTGCTTAACTAATTCTCAACCTAGAAAAATGAGATGGTAATTTCAGTCCTGTCTAGGTAACCTGGAATCCTTACCATGTAAATTGAAGTCTTCATTGCTGTTCTTAGGGAAAGAGATGAAAGTTAAATGGGTCACTTTGTACTGAGAGAAACTTTAACCTTGTGCAGAGACCTTTATAAGGTAGTTCTGCTGTTGTTCCTTTGTCCATGTTCTGAAAATGGGTAAATCTGGAAAAAAACTTTCTGCCCTTGAGAAAGGTACACATGTAGCAGATGCTGAAAATGACTCCAGCGCCTTCAGTATTGAATTGCCTACCAGATTCTAAGTATCGAAGAGTGAGAGCTCTATTTGTTTCTGTATCCATTACATAGTAACTTTGTTTTGCTCAAAGTTACTTTGTTAAGCCATGAATCACGGGTATCAGCTATTGAGCTCTATTACATTAGGGAGCAGAGACTAGTTTAGAGATCTTTTATTGATGGGCTTTTTTTTTTTTTATTTAAGATTTTATTCATTTGAGAGAGGGGGGCGGCAGGGGGGGCAGAGGGAGGGGCAAAGGGAGAGGGAGGAGGGAGAAGCCGACTCCCTGCTGAGCGGCGGGGTGGGGGGAGTGGGGCGTCGATCCCAGGACCCCAGGATCAACCCCTGAGCTGAAGGCAGATGCTTAACCATCTGAGCAACCCAGATGGCCCTTGATGGGCTTTTTTGTAAGAATATTCAGGACAGTAAGGAAGACAGGAAACAGTCTCAACTGTTATACATCCAGACTTTGTGGAGATCTGGAATGACATTCAGGATATTACAGAAGTTCAGTCAGTGTCAGTTGTCTGTTTTTGTTCACCATTTTTCCCCAGCACCCATGCTTGTCACATAGGATGTACTTAAATATTATTAATGAAATACATTTCGGATACTAAGCTCTACTGTATCTCTCTGCTCTCTTCCTCCTGTATTCCCAGCTAAATGTCAGCAACACATCTTCTATTTACTTACGCCTTTTCTGCCTCAAGGCCTCTGCTTATTCACTTCCCTCTGTGTATCCTTTTTTTCCATGCTATTGCTTTGTGTGTGGATTGTGTATCTCTCCAGTATGGAGCACTTTCTTACAGCATAGTGACCAGGCTGCTATGGGTACCTTCGGTTGGGGGGCTAGCCCTCGTCCAGTTACCTGTGGTCACTAGCAAGGTCACAGGGTATGGTCTCGCTCATAAGAGGAATGAAGTTATGGCACGCACTTAGAATATCATTCTGTAAGAGTAAATTAGAGTCTGACTGGTGCTCAGTCCCATTCCAGGTCAGATTCTAAGCAATGGGAGAACACCGTACCAAGCTAGTTCATTGTTGTGTTCCTAGAACTTGACACAGAGCTTGGCACATACCAGGCACTGGAAAAAGTACTGGCTGAGTGCAGCCTGATGAAGGAGGACATTCTTTGAGCTTAGATGTATCGGGTACTGCCTAATGGGCAAGGTTAAAGAGTAAAGCAAATGTACTTAAACAATTTTTATCCTGTAGGTGAATCATTATAGCCAGTGGTAAAACACATAAAGCTTCTAAGTAGAGAAAGGTCAAATCCAGAAAGGCTTCATCCTCCTTCACTTTCGAATTGTGTTTGAAAGTATTAGCACCACGCTCTAACCAACTGAGCTAACCGGCCACTTTTGTGTTTGAAAGTAATGAGTATTACAGAACCTCGAATTACTAAGTGGATTCTGTCATTACAGTGGGACAGTTGCTTTAAGGCTACAAATCCCAGAGCTTTTTCCCACAGAATTGTCACCATCCTAAAAGGCTTCATAGCAACCCTTTAGAAGAGAAACCTCATGGGATTTGGATTTGTTGAAAGAGCTGCAACATGTTGCCATGTTTAAATTGAACTGGAAGTGTAATTGGGAAATATTCCAGATTTGAAAAACAAAGGCATTCTTATGGATCATGTTTCTTGATTTCTGTGTCCCTCTTTCCACTATCACACTCAGTTGCCACCACCACTGACAAGGGTAGGTATTATTTTTAATTCAACATAAAAATTAGGATTAAGAGACAGTTTTGCTTGACACTATTTTGGAGGCCTAACTAACGTTCTTCTTGCTCCACATTTGGGGGTCCTCATTTGATTAGTGCAGTGGTCCCAGGTCCCCTCACTCTTGTTTACACATGTTAGGGCTTCAGCAAACACCAATTTGAATTATCGATGTGAATTAACAAGGCCATTGTTGCAGGTTGCTTAACCTCATTTACTTTCATCGTCACAGATATCACCCTGAAACTGGGAAAACTAATAAATGTTTTTCCATCTTGATTCCAGTTGAATAGGCAAGGAAAAATGGAAGTAATATGGAGGAGTCACACAGATGCATAACTATAACTGGAAAATACCAGGCTGTGGGTTTTCTCTCTAATAGTAAAGACAGGATGTTGTGTTGGTTGAGTGTAAGTATTAGAACCACACAAACCTGGGTGAAAACCCTGGCTCTGTCACAGAACAGTGTGACTTTAGACAAGTTCCTTAAACTTAGCTAGGCCTTACTGCCCCTTCTGTGAAATGGAGAGGACAATAGGGCCTCTTTCATGGGGGATAGTAGTAGGATTTAAATGTGATAATGCATTGGAAGCCCTTGCTACAGGGCCTGGCACAAAGTAAGCCCTCAGTAACTTTAGCTGGGTTTGTTACGATTGCTGTTATTGTCAAGAGTGTTGTTTTGAAAATGTAATTTTTTTCAACAACATTAGATGGTGTCAGATAATTTGGTGACATCGGATAATATAAATGGGATTAGTGTTTTTTCTCCTGGTAACAGAAACAAACAATATAGTATTTTTTAAAGTAATGTAATTCTACACACCAATATTTAGGAGAGGAAGAGATACAGTTTATGTCTTTGAAATGTACAAGCTGCCACAGGCAAGCTTACAGGTTCTTCTTCTCTATCCAGAGGTTAAGAAGAGCATCTTGATCTGTAAGTGCAGGATCTTTTATGCTAAATGGTTTCTGGAATTCATTAAGGCCTATCTAGGGAGGGATTTGATAGATCACACATGTAAAGAACTATCTTTTTGTAGTGGGATATCTGGTGATACTTCTATAAAAATTTTACAAATATGAGTATGAGAAATTCCTGATGAACTGAACTGATGTCTGAGAGGCATTGACACATTCTCTCATGTCTCCCTTGTGCTTATGTAGGTGAGACGGGCATTGGCAAATCCACGTTAATGGACACTTTATTCAACACCAAATTTGAAAGTGACCCAGCTACTCACAATGAACCAGGTGTCCGGTTAAAAGCCAGAAGTTACGAGCTTCAGGAAAGCAACGTACGGCTGAAGTTAACCATTGTTGACACCGTGGGATTTGGAGACCAGATAAATAAAGATGACAGGTACGTCTTGGGATTTCATGGGGATATAAATGGATCAGGAGATGGCAGGACCTGTTCTGGGTAAATTCAAAGGCTAAATGTTCACTAGTTATGGGGCTGGTCTTCTGTTGCCTAAAAGAAAAGACATCCTTGTTCTCTGAGAAATTTTCTTAGAATGTTCTTCCCTGAGGTCAGAACCAGAGAACACAGTTGATTCCAGCTAGTATAAGGAAAAAAGGGATTTCTTAGAAGGAATAAGTTAGCTTATGGCATTTTTTCCAGGAGGGTCATGGAGCTAGACATGGGGGCTTTCCCAACAGGAAAAGCAATCTAGAGAAACACCCTCGTATTCTACAGGACAATTGGCAGAAGCCCCTGCCACCAGTCACCTTATATAATTTGGTACCCATGACGCTGGGGGGAGGTCTCGAGAACCTCCACCAGGTCTGTCCCGGATAACTACATGCCTTTACCATCACTTGCAAGGAGAACAGGTGTGGCCTGTGTGTGGCCTCAGCTGTGTGGTGCTCACTCCCTGCTTCCAGGTTTGTATAGCTGCGTCTGCTTGGTAGAAACTAAACCACATCTAGAACAAGAGCTGTAAGAATCTGGGAAATGTGGTTTTTGTTTTTGTTTTTTGCAACTCTGCAAAATAAGAAGGCATTAAAAAGTAGAGGAATTTGGAATGAGCATCTGCCATGCTCTCTTAGTCCCTGAGGCAGATTGGGATATTTGACTTAATCCCCAAATTCTTGCAGATTTCAATGAAAACTGAGAGTTGATGAGAAATCATCTGTAAGAAGCCACAGCCCAGGATTTAGGAGACCTGGGTTATAGCCTGGATTCTGCCAATGACAAGCTATGGGACCGTGGCAATTTATTTCACTTTAAGGGAATGTCACTAGACGTGTGATACTGTGTACGGTCCTATTCTTAGGCAGAGGCCTAAGGAAGGACACTGAAAGGCAAGGCCTGGAAGAGGGTGTGGTAATAAGGGGATTATCCTATATTTTGAAGTCTTTGGTCAAAGTGGTATTAACTCCTAAAACCTCAAAGTGAAGAAAGCATTTTTATGGAAGATCTGTTGGAAAAATCTTGATTTCCAGCTGAAACTGGATCTTGCTGTTGATGTCAGTGCTTGGTGTGAGGCACTGTGAATCCTTCTGTGAAGTATCTGGGTCTTCCGCTAGGCTGCTAGAGGGCTGGGCAGCATGCTGGGTGCAGAATTGCCAAATCGAGTCTGAATGATTGTGGTTTCAGTCAAGCCTAATGAGGAATTTAGGTCGACTGGATTAAACTTTCCCTCTCTATCCAGTGGGGTTTGTTAAGCTATGAAGTAATTTATACAATAAACTATATATGTGGAAGAAAGGACATGTCTAACCTGCTTAAGAAATAAGTTATTTTCTAAGAATTGTGTTCCAAAAGTTTGTATGTAGATAGAGGCTACTACCTGTAAGTCAGTCTTATGTATTCATTCATTAAAACCCGTTCAAATAAACTTGAAGATATAATTATAAAATAATACAGTTAGGTTTTAGGATTTTTATAAAACGTGTACTCAATTTATAAAGCCAGGTAAGTTTGGCTCTTCTCTCTCAGTTGCTGTATGCCTTTATTTGAGGGAAGCTGTTAATCTTAAAACTTCCTGGTGCTCAACCGATATGTTAACCTCAGTCCCCAAATATGTTCACACTCCTTTTCGAGATCATCCATCCTATTCATCATTCTTAACATCAAATATCTTATGACTATTTTAAATATTGTATTCATTTTCTTTCTTTTTTTTTTTTTAAGATTTTATTTATTTATTTGAGAGAGAGAGTGAGAGAGAACATGAGAGGGGAGAGGGTCAGAGGGAGAAGCAGACTCCCTGCTGAGCAAGGAGCCAGCCCTATGTGGGACTCGATCCCGGGACTCCGGGATCATGACCTGAGCTGAAGGCAGTCGCTTAACCACTGAGCCACCCAGGAGCCCTATTGTATTCATTTTCAAAAGAAGTTAGAGAAAGTTAAAATTGTCGCAGGTCCAAAGATGATTCTAGAAGGGGGCTTCCAGAGACATTTTTGTGCAGTGACAACATAATGGAAATAAAACCCCAAGTCAGTAAGATATGTTTGCTTAGGGCTCAGAAATTTTATTAGTACCAGAGTTTGTTTGTTTCTTTTTAAAAAAATTTTCCTCAAAACTGTGTATATTATATGCATATGTTTTATCAAGAGGAACTTGAACTATTTTTATCTAGAATGTGTATTGCCTAGAGATATTTTAACTACCCTGATATATATGAGCAACATAGTAATTAGGAAGAAATATTTAATTCATTCTCTAGCTGAGCACTGAGCTCCATTTTATCTATAGAGCAATTTAAATGCTCTTCAATAAACATTGTCCTGTAATAACAGGAGCAATTGTTAGATGTAGTGAGAAGGATTTTATTTCACATCTGGTCAAAATGAACTGTCTGTACATTGTGTGGGGTGGGGGACAGCTAAGCTCAGACCCTGCAGCTGAGCTATTGCTCTTAATTTATGACCTCAATGCCAAGGAATGATGGAGAGGTTACTGCCTGAAGGCTGTTTGTAATACCAAGTGAAATAGATGTCATGCTTGTGCACTCCCTGATTGGAAGGCAGTAACTGGACCTTTTCAGGATCCCTTCCTGCAGGAATGAGAACCATCTTCCAGCATCTTTCTGCTAAGACTCCATGTGCTCTTCCCGCTCAGAGTCATTGCCTCAGTGGCTGCACTGAATTGCCTCTCCCGAAGTGGGGATTTTCCTTCGGCCTGCTGGTTTTCACTGGCCGGCACTGAACAGCAAGTGGCTACTACTATACCAATTCTCATATTTGCAGCTGGAGGCCTCTTTAAGAAATTATCTGACTCATTTGGGTCAAATAATAGTTTCCAAGGAGATTTAGAAGAGAGGAAGTGTGATATTAACCTAACCTAGATACCAAATATTTTTTTTCTTCTGAAATTTCTTGACAGCTGTTGCATAACCTCTTTAAGTGGCATTTAGAACTCTGTCCCCTAGAAGGCATTGTTGACACTGTTGACTCTAAACCCAAATGACTATTGTTTAAAAAAAATTTTTTTTCGGACAGTCTGCTTCCATAAAAGAATTGGAAGTGAGATATGCATTTTTGCATTGATACGTAACCATGTGGGAAGCAATGTGCTGTTTCTCTAAACCCATGATTATTTTTACTACTTTGGGGATGAGGCAAGCTTTTCTGCCATGAATGCAGGACTTCAAGAATGTACTGGCTTGTTTATGTAGGCTTCAGTCATGTCAGCATTCCTGCATGAGTATCTGCCTGAGACTGAGCTAGCTAGAAGGAGGCAGGAAGAGAGATCTGGTAAGGTTTCCTGTTATGTTTAATAGCAGGATTAACTCTTCATGGTTTAAGGACTTCTTTGTTTTGCTGTCTGTATTCTTCAGTGAAGAAGGGGAGGGGTCTGGAGAAGAAGGTAAACCAAGTTTTGTCATAGAACTGGAAATAGAATAATTCATTTGCCCCACATTTGGGAAATGGGAGATAGAATGTCAGTGGCATGTCACTAACTGTAATGATAACCCTGAAAAGCATGAATAATTGAAATCTTCAAACTCACCAAATCTTTGTATCAGAGTTATAAAATGGTTTTGAAGTGGACCATTTGGTCTTTAATTTCTGTTTGCCACACTTTCTGATGGAGGTAGTTGAGAGATAAGGAAAACTAACTTTAACAGCAAGGTAGAGAAAAATAGATGGTAGGTATCTGGCCGTATGTAAAATGGAGAGTCGGTCCCTGAACAATGGTGTTGGTTCTTTTGCAAGAATGATCAGTGGGTAGCTTGGGTGGATAGAAAACATTGTATAAAATATCTTTTTCCATCAGTTTCAGGGTCAGCCTCTGTATTTTATTGTGGACTCTGTGGCTGGAGGTATATGAAAAAAATGAGTTGTGGGTAAAAAGGACTATCCCCATGCCTTAAAAGGAGACAATGTAAGGACTAGATTTGATTTGCCCTCCACTTTCCTCTGCTTGGTATCACTATAATCCAGAGAAGTTGGAATTGGCTAAACAGAAAATAAATGGGTCTCCTTTCTCTAAGAATGGAAACTAGCAAAAGGCAAAATTGGGATTACACTTCCTTCTCTTTATGACTGTGAATGTAGATAAGAAGTGGAAAGGAGTAGGAGAAGAGGGGCAGATCATTTGTTTAAAGGATTATGAAGGGGAATACAAAATTACTGGCTGACTGAAACACAGGGAATACTGATTTTGGTAAATAGTTCTCCTGAAATACATTTCTTTGTAATCTGTTATAACAATTAGAAGTTAAAATTGATGGAATTTCATGCTTGATTGTGTGTGTTGTGGGGGAGTAGAAGGGGAGGTCCCCGGGTGGTGTGCATGGGGGTGCCATTCACCAAGCGAAGGAATACAGGGAAGTGTGGGTTTGGGGGCAGGATGAACAGTCCCGTCGTGGACACATTTAGTTAGAAGAGCCAATGGAGATATCTCGTAAGCAGTTGGATGAATGGTGCTGAAACTTGAGTGAAAGATCTGGGCTCCGAGCAGAGATTTATGAATTATCATCACTTAGATGGTGAGTAAAACACAGGAGTAAATGTGATTTTTCAGGGAGATCACATAAAGGGCAAAGAAGGGGATTGGAAGATTAGCCAGAATTCCCTGACAGGGGAAGGCAGAAGGAAACCCAAGATGTAAGAGGAGAACAAAAGGTTTCTTGGGATATATTGAATCCAGGGCAGAAAGCATTCCTCCCTGGAAAAGGAGAGGTGTTATGCTTCCCATAATCTTGGAGGTTCAGAATCAACACCAGAGGCAAGAGGGAAATTAGTAGAAAGCAGAAACATACTTGGAGCACTGCTGGGGAGGCGGTGCTGAGAGGCTAAAAATCAGGAACTGGTGAGGCAGGAAGGAGCAATTGCTTGTGAGATGCTTTTCCTTTCCTTTCTGAAGAGGGTGTTGGAGAAAGACCCTGGTTCCCCCAACACTTGCCTCAGTGTCCAGAGACGGAAAGATGAGGCCTTGGGCTGGCACAGGTGGACCTCGGTGGAATGCAGGGCATGAGCTCAGCAGCAGAATGGTTACCATGAGCCAGGTGAGGGTAGGGTTCCTTTTTCCCCCTTCTCTTTCTAAAAAGTCAGGCTTGCTTTTCTCCTATTTGTTGTTTATTATTTTTTATTATATTACTATGAAATAGTTATATCTTACTCTTCTGTGCTAGTCCTTTACACATATTAGCTTATTTGTCACAGTAGCTCTCTGATATAGGTACTTTTTTTGTCCTTGATTTACCTATGAGGAAACTGAAACAGAGATGTTTAGTAACTTGCTCAAAGTCACATAGGTAGTAAATTTGTGGAGTTGGAGTTGGTTTGGCTTGAATCCATGCTTCTAATCACTATCCTATGATAATATTATTAATATTGTTATGTAATACCTACCTGTGTTTTAAAGTGCAAAACATAGAAGAAACTTATCACTTGCTCATTCTTTCTATTAGAATTTATTGGGATTTCTGTTGTCATATTTAGAACTTTATTATTACAGAGGCATATCCTGCTTTTTCTTTAAACCACTAGAGATTTTGTCTGTTCAGATTGAATCAGTGGATTGTGATGAATCACCAAGGAAAAATATCAAAAAACTTTTTTTCTGAGTGCTTTCAGTTTTTGATTATAAATGTATTTTTTGTTTTGTTTGTTTGCTTGCTCTCTCAGGGTATCTGCTGTCATCCACATTATCAAAGATTTGTAGTTCCCTTTTAAGGATTTCAGTTTAATATGTGACTTAGGGGAGCCGAGTGTTGAAAGGTTTTTATTTTTCTTAAAGCTTAAGTCATTCCTCAGCAAGATAGTTAAGTTTGGAGAGAATTAACCCATTGTGTTCCTAGTAGACCAATCTCTGGCTAACACTGACTTCTGAGCAGTCCCCTGGAGACTTGAAAGTTTATAGCTTTTCCACAGTGACCTACCTAATGTACTGCTGAGTCCCTGGAGAACATCTGGTTTATTGAATGCATATTCCCAATATACTATTAATGATTATGGTCAGTTAATAGAATCATACGTAATTATTCAAAACAGATTTTAATTATGATTTGCTGAGAAGGGTTACAGAGTTTATCTTCCAATCATAAAATATCAGAGTTGGAAGTAATCTTGAAGCTCCTAATCACCCAGGCCCCTCAGTTTATAGATGAAGCTGTGGAGGGAGCACGGAAGAGCTCCCACTAGATGATACCATCACCTAAAATTGAAAACCACTTTCCTTTTGTGCGCCAAAGTCAATCAGTTGGCAGAGGCTGTCAGAATCACTTTATTAAGACAGATTCTGAGACTCCGTTTTGGCCCAGCAGGAAAGAATGCCACAATTTCTTAGCAGTGTCTTCCATGGGAAGTGACAGCATGGTTCACATATTTATAATCTCTGTTTTAAAGGATGAATGTTAGCCAGGAGAATACTAGGAAGAAGTCTGTTCCGGGTACGGGGGCTAGCGTGAACAAAGGCACAGAGGCAGATGAAAGCTTCGTGTGTGTGACTGGGACAGAAGCGGCAAGCCAGGGAGGGAGTGGGAGAGAGGAGCTTGAGAGATGTTCAGGCACCAGAGGTTGGAAGGCCCGGGATGCGCAGGTAAGGCTTTGGGGCTTTAGCTCTTAAGCAAGGGAGCCAATGGAGACTTTACAGAAGGATTGTCCTGCACTGAACTGCATGAGAGATTTATGGCTAGAAACATGCTCATTTGAAGGTGTGTTTTACAAAACATTCTTTTGCATTCTAGCTATAAGCCAATAGTGGAATATATTGATGCCCAGTTTGAGGCCTACCTGCAAGAGGAATTGAAGATCAAACGTTCTCTCTTCAACTACCACGACACCAGGATCCACGCATGCCTCTACTTCATTGCCCCCACCGGCCATTCCCTGAAGTCTCTGGATCTAGTCACCATGAAAAAGCTGGACAGCAAGGTACCCACTACCACGCTGGCCACTGTCCCCTCTCCTTTTAGATCACCTTTATCTGAAGGCCCTGATTTATTTTCTCCTTTTAATGTCATTCGGTTGTATTGTTTTGTTTTACAAGACTGTTTTCCAAGCAGTTTTAGGTTCACAGCAGGGTTAAGAGGAAGGTACAGAGTTTCCCGTATACCCCTGCCTCCACATCAACACCCCCACCCGATGGGCACGTCACAGCGGGTGCACCTACGTTGACACATCAGCCCCCCAAAGTCCATGTTTGTATTAGGGTTCCCTCTTGGTGGTGTACATTCTGTGGGCTGGGACACGTCTGTAAAGACCTGTATTCCTCATTATAGTATACAGAGTACTTTTCTTGCCCTAAAACTCCTCTGTGCTCTTGCCTCTTCATCCCTCCCCACTTCCTCCAACCCCGTAATTGTCTTTTCTGGTTTACAGAACAATAGGGTTTAGCAATGTGAGAAAAATGCTTCAAAACCTCTGGATGTTAGGCTAAACAAAATAAAACAAACAAACAAATAAAACCATGGAGCTCTTTACCAGGTATTTTTAGTTCTTAAATTAACACCAGTGGGTGCTCTAATGAGGAATTAAATAGTGGAGGCACCTAAAAGGTCATAGGAAGGGTTAAATTTAGGGAGATTGAAATACGAAGTCACAATTTATTTTCTTAAAAGCTTTCTTTAAATTTCTTTGTTAAAAGTTTTTAAAAGTTTGGTTTTAATATGAAGTTTTGAGTGGGGAAAAAAAAGGGTGTTAATTTTTTTTTTTTTTTTTTTACTTAGGTGATAAGTGCAGTCCGGTTCCTTAGATTTAAAACAGAACTGTACCCGTGTATTTTTACAAAGTAGTTTCCGTTTGACACCTGAGCTTTTCACATTAATAACCTCTCCCTTTCACAACATTTGAAGGAAAGTCCTGATAAATTTGATAACGTTTAGTGACCTACTTTACAATTAATTTGATTTTTTCATTTTGAAATAAATGGAAGACAGTAAATTCTGAAAACAAAGAAGCAAATAACAATGGGAATGACCCCTCAAAAGAAACTGTGGTGTTTTCTCTCCTAACCTTCTTTTTGAGTTCCATGAGGAGTCTTACCGTCTCTAGAGGGTTTTGTTGGGTGTTATTTTTTTGTCTAAACAACAGTGTTGGAAAGATGCTCTCTCTCCAGAGGAACATGACAGAGAACACTCAGAAGGCCAGCCTGTCCCCACGGCCTCTCTCTGAACTCGCGGCCAAAGCGCCGGCTGTGGCTGACTCAGAGCCAGGCTCCTGGGCTTCCAGCGCGTGCAGATGCCCGGGTTTACAGAAACATGGTCTGATGGCCCGAGTGGATTACTGCAGCTGTAGTGCTCTCCCGAGAACACACGGAAACCCTTCTCCATCACATTTGTTTCAGCTGCATTTAGCCACGGATGGCGGAGGGATCTGGGCCACGGGGCTGGGGGACAGGCAGGGACGGAGGGGGGCTCCTGACTGAGGCCACGGCGGTGGGCCAAGTCAGGCTAATATTCAACAACAGGGTTATGCTTAGTAGAGTTGAGTTAAAAAGGGAAAAAAGGAACGAAAATACAGCAAAGCAAACACAGCTGGAAACAAACTAACAAAAAAGACCCCAGAAAGCAGGTTAAACTGCCTTCAAAGAATCACTATTGCTGTAGAGCTGGGCATGCTGGAGATCATCTGAAAATGGTATTTGCAAAAAGGTTTGTTGATACAAGCAAAGTGTAGAGTTTAGGCTCTTAACTATATAAGTCACAAATACATGATAATTTCAGAAAAGATTTTCAAGCACCTGCTACCAAGGAAGATTTTTTTTTTAAGTTTATTTATTTGTCAGAGAGAGAGAGAGAGAGAGAGAACACAAGCAGGGGGAGCTGGAGAAGGAGAAGCAGGCTCCCTGCTGAGCAAGGAGCCCAATGCGGGACTCGATCCCAGAACCCTGGGATCACGACCTGAGCTGAAGGCAGACGCTTAACTGACAGAGCCACCCAGGCCCCCCAAGGAAGAAGATTTTAAATCTAAATTACTTGGTTTATCTTTCTACTCTGATCAGATTGGCCCAAGGAACTGTGAAGCTCTGCCATTTTGTCTGTGTAACATTGAATGCCAAGTGTGTACAAAAGATAGCCCGTAAGAACAACAGGCAGGTGTTTTGTTCCTCGGGTCCTGACCCACACATTTCCCCACCACCAGTGTGTTTCTCGGTCTGTGACTTGCTGGATGAGACCAGGCACGATGAGGGTAGGAGTGGGTGGAGAAATAGGGGAAGAATAGGTTTTTTATCCACATGTCTCCTCATTGTGATGTATCAGGGATTTTGATTTAGCTCTTGGAATAAAAGGGGAAGCAAAGGAAGTAAAACATGACCAAGAAAACCTCCTTAAAGACTTCCTCATTCTCTTGCTAGGACGGCTTTCTTACCAAGTTCGTCCCTCTTTCCCCTGAGCTGGGTGGAGAGTATGGCCCCAGGTATCGGATGTCCATAGTGTCTTTCTGAAAGCTCTGTACCTACCACAGAGCAGAGGACAATTAATCTTAAAAAAAGGAATTTAAAAAAAATGTGCTGCGTGGACAGTGCTGGGGACAGTTGGAAGAATGACTGACGTTGGGGTTTGGGGCTTGTGCTTGAGGGTGTCCCTAGCTTTCACGCTGGGCTTTCTGCCACGGTTGTCAAACTCGGCCTTCTTCCTGGTCTTTGTAGCCCATGCCCCGAAAGTGAGCCTTGTCTTTGGCACCAGGTCTCATTCTGGTATGAAGAAGTAATGTGATAGAAACCGGTGTTTCAAGAGAATTAGTTGGTATCATTTTGAAAACTTTAAAAGTAGGCGAAACTGTTTTTGTTTCAGTGAATACGTAGATTCTCCACTCCTAGCAGTCATTAGAAAAAAAAGAGGGTGTTATCCTGGGAGAGTTGGATATGCCACTGTTCTGACTAACACAGTCTTGGCTATTACACTGTTAGGAACATGCAAAAATCAAGCTCCTGAAGTAGCTGGGAGGGGTCTAAAAGGAGTGGTTGGTTATTGAAAGAATAGGCTTTGTTATCGCTATTTGTCAAAGAGTAACACTTCCTTTTACTCTGTAAAAAAAAAAAAAAATGAGGTAGCACAGAAGAGGAAATTACAAGTATGGTTTCAGTGCCGGATGGGAGGAAGTAAAAGTGTTCACAGATGGAGCTAAAAGATTATCCCATATCTTCTTAATTTTGCATCTGGGCAGAAAGTCTGATTTTCAATATCATCTCTGTTTTTTAAGTGAAGGTTTACAATTTTTGTTGTTTATTATGTTTCATTCATTTGTCTTGTTTTTCTTACATTGGAATTGTGTACAAATAGATGTGTTTGTTTTATAGGTGAATATCATTCCAATAATTGCAAAAGCTGACACCATTGCCAAAAATGAACTGCACAAATTCAAGAGTAAGATCATGAGTGAACTGGTCAGCAATGGAGTCCAGATATATCAGTTCCCCACAGATGAAGAAACGGTGGCGGAGATTAATGCAACAATGAGCGTAAGTCCTCAAGTTAGGAAGAACCTACCAGTAATTTTCCTGAAAGCTTTTCTTGGTAGCAGCATTGTAGAGTGACTAGAACCCTGGACCAGGAATCTGATTCTTCACTGTGGTCCAGCCCTGTCACTATGGCAAGGCATTTAAGCACCCTGCTCCTCAGTGTCTCTATCTGTCAAATGGGAAAGTTAGGCAAGCTAATCTCCAGTTTCCTTCCCACTCCAACAGATAAGATTTCTACAGCCAATCTCGTGGGAAGGGAATGCCCGCCCGGCACCATGTCATACAAAGCAGCTTACAGGAAATAGATCTCTGCTTGTTTCTGGCATTGTTGGCGGAAATATGTCCACCTGCCTCATTTTGGCTTCTGTGATGGGTTCCTGCCTTTCCCTCCTTTCTGCTTCTCCTACCCTTTCCTGAACCATTGGGTTAACTGGCAGTCGAGGTATAATTTCTTCACCTCACAGGCAGGATGGTCAGAAGAGAAAGGACTAAAGCTTCAGCAATTCTTAGGTGCACCTGCGATATGATGTCTCGTGGTAAGCCTCCATGCTGCCCGCTGACACCTGAATCTTTCCCACTGCCTCTTTTGTATCTCACAGCCATAGCTCATCTCTTGGCCACAATTACTATACATTTTTTTTTCACTTAGGAATGCATAACTTCTGTAAAAGTAGCGTTCTTTGCACATAGTAGATGCCCAATGATGGTTTTTGGAATTCTTAAAATTGTAGGTTAGCTTCAGTGAAATGCAATTAGAAGCTATTAAATAAGTTGCCTTTCCCTGGATACATGCCAAAAAATGATCCAAAAGTATGCTATTGGCAGCAGAAGTCAGTCTAAGTTGTGGAAGGTTGAGCTATGTTCTACTTCCCTTAGATCTCGTCATGAAAAGTGTCTAATGAAGTCATTAAATGCACTAAAGGCACTGTTTTTTTTTAATTAACAGCTTTATTGAGATATAATTGATATACTGTACAATTTACCCATTTAAAGCATATAATTCAGTGGTTTTTAGTATATTCACAGGGTTGTACAACCATTGCCACCATCAATTTTAGAACCTTTTCGTCACCCCAAAAAGAAATTGTGTACCTTTTAGCAGTCAACCCTCTAACCATTCCAGCCCTAGGCAGCCACCACTCGACTTTCTTATCTCTATAGATTTGCCTATGCTAGGCATTTCATATGAAGGGGACTCCTACTGAAGCTCATCTGGAGACTTAAATGACTTGGTCAAAGCCAGCTAATAGCAGCACTGAGATTTCAACCCTGGTCCCACATCTGTGTTGTTTGCCATCATAATTTAGGAGAACAGGGTTGTAACACAAAAATTGTTTCTTCAGTTCAACATATGGACTTTTTTTTTTTTTTTTAAAGCACTCATAATTGGAGTATTTTTTATTTTATGTACAATGAGTTGACATTAAAGTAGGTATCCTGGTTATCTGCAGTTAACGTAGGTTATCTTGGATGACCAATTCAAGGAAGTTCACTTAATCCAACTTAATGAAGCCTATATCCTTCGCGTACTGACGGAAACACTGGCGGCACATATTGAGGCCGTATTTCCGGATCAGACCGTGCCGGTTTGAGCAGATGTGGCAAGAACGAGAACCCTGGCCAAATTTCCTCGGATGGCTCCAGTACAGCTGCTGGTGACCCATCTTGCTCTCTCGGATGCAACGAGGCAAAAGGCCAACATACGGACTTTTCTATGTAGCGCTGTTTCTTCCTTAAGTTATTCCTGATAGGCCTAGGACTTTGGAAGCCAGTGCAGCTCCTCCCCTCTCTGGGACTGTTGTATGAATTTAAAATTTAGGAGCTCATTAAAGCAAAGATAGCCCAGCTCCACTCTGTTCTAGTCTGGTCACACTCTGAGTTGTATGACCCACTGTGGCTGTCATGCTCCTGTGGTCAGGATAGTAAAGGCTCTGGAACTTCTGGAAGCTGGAGAGCAGGCTCTTCCTGAGGAGATGGCCTGAGGGGGTGTGAAAGGAAGGTTGTCATAGGGGACAGTGACTGTTCTTATTCAAAAGACAGAGCTGAAACCAACAGTGAATGGCAGTGAGGGGTTTGGCCATCAGGACCACCGCAGCGTAGCAAGCACCCCGTGGAAGGAGCGTGTTCCCACTGCCAGGGGGTGGACCACAGATTCTGAATCAAAGTGCTTAGAACAGCTGTGGTAGAAGGAGTTCCTAAGTAGGATCGAAACAGGTAGCATGTGAGGTCTCCTCCATGTCTAGAACTCTCTGGTTGTGGGTACCGAGAGCTCTCTTAATAATCATAGCGCCTGACGTTTCTGACATCTGTGGAGCATTTACTGTGCACCAGCCGCTGCGCGAGGCTTTATTTACATTTAGTGCCCACACCAATCCTGTGGGTAGGTACTCAGGTGAGAGGAGACCGCAGCCCACCCCTCACGTGGTACAGCTGTCAGCGGGGCCGGTGGGAGTGACGCCCGCGGAGCAGCGAGCTCGTGTTACGGTGTTGTCAGGAGCTCGGGCAGGGCAGCACTGGTTTATTCTGCTGCAGAGCCATGATTTGGGATGTCAGTGTAGGATTCGAGAAATAACGTGAATGAATATCATCTAATTTTCTCTTTATCTCCCTCCCCATCCTCTTAAATCATTTTGGATGGTCATGCAACTAAATTCGTGTTAAATTTCTTGCAAAGGAAATAGCCGTGAATCTTGGCTCTTTCTCTCTTTATCTGATTAATCGAGCTGGTTGTCCCAAATTAATCTTGTTCTTCAACAAGAAATTGTTTTTTAGGCTCTCCATTGCAAGCAATTCCTAGTGATGAAATCCCACATGATAGGTGGAAAACAGATTTCTTTGGCAGTTGCTTTTGTCCCTCAGGGTGAGCAGAGAAAACGGTTTTCTTGGGTCATTACACCAAAATGTTGGCCGGAAGGGTCCTGGTGCTCCTCAACTTCAGGGAACATGTTACAGTTCCAGAATCAGAGTCTGAGAAAGAGAATGTGTTTTCTTCCTTTCTCCAGAGTGTGAGATGAACCAGAAAATAGAACTATCTTGAGCATCAGTGAAATACCACTTGGGCAGCCTGGGCTGAGGGTTATGCCCTCTGTGGGAGAGGATTTGGCTTTGAAACATTCTTGTCTTTCTCAGCTTCTCTGCAGTAGAAGAGCAGTGGATCAGGGAACTCGAGATAATACGTCTCGGAGCAGCCATTTCAAATCTTCTTATTCTTATATGCTAATAGAAAAAAGGTGGAATTACTATCCGTTCCATCCCCTATTCCCAGAATGTAGACATAGGTACCAAAGAAGTCAATGTGGAACAGTCCATTGTCTTGAACACCACCTCTGCTTGAGATAAGTCTGGGCTGCAAGGCTTGGGCCAGTAATTTGGGCTAAAGTGTATTTCTGACTTGAATTTTGTGCAATGGCCAACTATCTAAACCAGTGCTGTTCAATAGAAATATAATATGAGTCACACAAGTAATGCAACATTTTCCAGTAGTCACATTTAAAAAGGTAAAAAGGGGGCACCTGGGTGGCTCAGTCGGTTAAGCATTGGACTCTTGGTTTCGGCTTAGGTCCCGATCTCAGGGTTGTGAGATCAAGCCCCATGTTGGGCTCCTGTGCTCAGCATAGAGTCTGCTTGGAATTATTTGTCCCTCTGCCCTTCCCTCTGGGCTCTCTCTCTCTCTGTCTCAAAATAAATAAAATCTTTAAAAAAATGTGGCAGAAGTGGCATTATAAAAAAAAAAGTAAAAGGAAATGTGAAATTAATTTAAAAGCTTTACTGAATATATTCAAAATATTACCATTTCGACATGTAATCAATATAAAAATTAATGAGATACTTTGACAGTAAGTCTTTGAAATCCAATGTATATTTTATAATTACAGCATATCCCAATTTGGATGAATACTCAAGTTGCTTCTAACATGCTTGAAAGTTTTTCAATATGAACTAACTACCAAAGAGATAAGTTTCCTCTAATGTTTGCATCCACATTGAGCAAACTGGTTCTTCTTTTAGAAGATTTGAGTTTGAAGCAAAATGAAGTGAAGTCCCCAAACAACAGAATTTTATCTAATGGAAAAATATTTTATCTTCCATTTTAAAATTTAAGTGTAAATGAATTAAAAGTAAATAAAATTAAAAATTCAGTGTCTTGGGGCGCCTGGGTGGCTCAGTCGTTAAGCGTCTGCCTTCGGCTCAGGTCATGATCCCAGGGTCCTGGGATCGAGCCCCGCATCGGGCTCTCTAGTCCGCGGGAAGCCTGTTTCTCTCTTTCCTACTCCCCCTGCTTGTGTTCCCTCTCTCGCTGTGTCTCTCTCTGTCAAATAAATAAATAAAAAAAAAAAATTTTAAAAATTCAGTGTCTTAATCCCGCAAGCCCCATTTCAAGTGCTCAGTGACCACACATATTAGTGGCTGTGGTCTTGTACAACACGAGTCTGAAGTTTCCTGTGTGGGTGCAGACTCCTACCGCTTCCCTTGAAGCTAGCTCCTATCACCTAGTCCGTATTTGGTTGTAGAAAGGGTGGGGTGCATGCAGCCCAACCCCACTGACCTGCAGAGCCCCGTCCCTTTCCTCCCCTCCCTCCCTGTTTTCTCCTGCTGCTGAGTGAGGCCTGCAGAAGAGGGCGGAGCTGGAGAAGGTAACTTGTCTCTGTCCTTGTGTCGCTTCACAGGTCCATCTCCCATTTGCAGTGGTCGGCAGCACCGAAGAAGTGAAGATCGGCAACAAGATGGCCAAGGCCAGGCAGTACCCCTGGGGTGTGGTGCAGGGTAGGTGCACAGTACGGGAAGGGTGTCTTCACATTTAACCCCTGTGGTGACTGTCCACTTTCCTTTCTTCCCTGCTGTGTTTGGGGAGGTGCTCAGCTGTAGGCAAGAGGAAGGGAGCAGTAGGGTTATACACATGACAGTTGTCAAGCGAGGAAGCAAGACACGGTGACCAGGTAGGTAGACCGTGGGGAGCGGTGAGTGCAGAGCCCTAGTGCCAGTGAGGCAGCCCCTCAAGAGTGTTGGCTTGTGTGGCAAATTCAGTATACATTCCTGATAGAAAAGAGTTCTTGCCTAGTAGTTTCAACCACTCTCATACCAGTTTCATCGGCAAAGTATAAGAAAGCTGCAAAACATTTCTTGTAAATAAGATACTTGTTTCTCCATTATCTCTGGAAAACTTGTCTTCCAGTTAAATATTATCTCAGTAAATATTGGAGAATTATAAGGCTATCTGACCTAGTTTGGCACTGTGGGACATGACCACAGTCTGTGATCTAAAGAAGCTTCCCATACGCTTGGCTGGGCAAGGACTCTGTTACCTGCCCTTGTACCTTTTTTTTTTTTTTAGATTTTTTTTTTTTAATTTATTTGACAGAGAGAGACATAGCAAGAGAGGGAACACAAGCAGGGGGAGCAGGAGAGGGAGAAGCAGGCTTCCTGCTGAGCAGGGAGCCCAATGCGGGGCTCGATCCCAGGACCCTGGGATCAGGACCTGAGCCGAAGGCAGACGCTTAACGACTGAGCCACCCAGGCGCCCCTACCCTTGTACCTTTTGAAGGAAGACGCCCGATGCTAGAGGTTAAGTAGGATCACTACAGAAAATTCCTTCATTGGTTTAAGACTATCAGTCCTCCTTTACTTTTGTTCTGAATAAAGGCAATAAATCTGCGAGAAGTGAGAAGAAATTACACCTTTGGGATTCCTGGGAAAGTTTTAATTTTTATGAATATTACCTATTTTTCTACAGTAGAACTTTTTTCATAGTGTTGATAAAATTTAAAGAAGCGATATGTAAGAACTGCCTTGTATACTTCCAGGGGGCATGGAGTAGTGGAAATAGACCCGGCTTTGCAGCCCGATGTTGGGGTGTTTAAATGTAGACTCTGCTGCCTCTACTCAGGAGGTCAGCGTGCTTATCACAGCCTTGCTTCTGCATCTGCAAGGCAAGAGTCGCAATGCCTACTTGGCAGAATTATTCTGAAGAGTGAAGACCATATTTACACACTTCCTCCCGCAGTGCCCTGCCTCGAGCAGGCCCTCTGCAGTCACTCCTGTCATCAGTGTCATGGTCCGCGTTGTCAGCTATCTTGTCCTCATTGGAAAGGTGAGGCGAATCCAGTAAAGGTCTTCAGGTGGCTTTGAGACTTCAGAGATTTCAGGAGCAATGGTGATCACCTCTTGAAAGTGTCACTTCAGATTTTCAGGGACATCGTTGCTAATAGCCACCCCCACCTTCCCATCTCTCGCAGTTGAGAATGAAAACCATTGTGATTTCGTGAAACTTCGGGAGATGCTGATCCGTGTGAACATGGAAGATTTGCGAGAGCAGACTCACACCCGCCATTATGAATTGTATCGGCGCTGTAAGCTCGAGGAGATGGGTTTCAAGGACACTGACCCTGACAGCAAGCCTTTCAGGTATGAGGGCACCTAGCAATCAGCTGTTCCCCGGATAGTGGCTTGAGTGGTGTGTTGGTGCATCATGGAAATGCTTATTGGATTGGGGCGCCTGGGTGACTCAGTTAAGTGGCTGACTCTTGATTTCGGCTCGGGTTATGATCTCAGGGTTGTGAGATCCATCTCCACGTTGGGCTCCGTGGTCGGTGGGGAGTCTGCTTCAGGATTCTCACCCCCTGCCCTTCCCTCTGCATGGGCACAGGCGTGCATGTGCACACACGCGCACACAGACACACACACATATACACACTCTATCTCTCTCTCTCAAATAAATAATATTTTAAAAAAAGAAATGCTTGTTGGATTAAGATATCAGTGACCGAGGGACCTGGTGGGGACACCTTAGTAGCATAATTGCCAGGCATCGTGATCACCACTTTATTGGCATTATCTCAACTACCCCAGGTAGTTGCTGTCATTATCCTCCTCATTTACAGGCCAGGACACTAAGGCACAGAAAGTGTAAGCAACCTACCCAAGGCCCTATAAGTAGGAAGTGAACCCCTGCTCTGAACCACTCTACTCACGGAGGCACAGGGCCCAGCACAGGTGTTTACCGAGTCGTGACCACTCACTTCAGCATGCCGCGCTCGTGGCTGCCGGCCAGGTCTCCCTTCCCTTGCAAGGCTCTTCCCAGCTCTCAGTGGTTCAGTACAATGCTAGCTACTAATGAGGAGGAAAGGGAATAACTTGTAGAAAATGTCTTGTGTATTTTCCCACATCATCGATGGATGGAGACCAAGAGGCCCAATGTGAAGGGGAGAATACTAAAATTAATGTAGACTTAGCAGCCTAGCAAAGGCCCCGTCCCTGTCAGAACCTGGTGGTGGGGGAGGGGCGGCAGGGGCTGAGTACCTTGGCCACGGAGTGGTAAGGGCAGGTGGGGCTTCCGGGCCAGATTTACCACCTCCGGGCTCAGCAGAGGATTAGCTTTGTCCTTCCTGGGCCCACACAGCAGTCTTCTTCTTCTTTTTTTTTTTTTATTTTTAAAATAATTTTTTATTGTTATGTTAATCACCTTACATTACATCATTAGTTTCTGATGTAGTGTTCCATGATTCATTGTTTGCGTGTAACACCCAGTGCTCCACGCAGAACGTGCCCTCTTTAATACCCATCACCAGGCTAACCCATCC